CTTGTGTAGATATGTTCTTTGTCCAGGTCAATTACAGAATTTCCAAAGTAATTGGTCAGATAAGGCTTTGATCCTAAACAGAGATATCGCCGACGCCGGCCACGAGTTATAAAATGTAAATTTATTGCATGATATTTTACATAAATCCAAATTGACTGCTATATATCGATGGCCTTACATTAAATCACGTAATTATGTTGAGCACAATTATTATAATTTTCATATAATCGCTTTCATAAGGACGCGCGAAAAAACAATTTTAAAAATTTATTCTCTTTGATTTATGGATGCTGTTCAAGATTAATGCCAAAATCATCAGAAGACTAGTTGATGGATTTATGATTTTGCCCTTTTATAACACTAGAACTTTTCCTGGAGTTTTCGCTCCGCAATAGATATGTATATTTAATACAATCTATAGATATAATGAAATTGTAACTAAGCCGAATCTGTACATTAAATATTTTTTGGGAAATCTCATTGAAATAAACATTATTGTCAATACAGAGGTCGAATCTATAGTTTTTAGAATTTTTGTCTGTCTGTCTGTCTATCTGTTACGGCATCACAGAAAAACCACTGGAGGGTCAACATATAGGATACTTTTTATTGCGGGAAAATGTCTCATTTCCGAGAAACAATACAAAAACTTCAATGTAAGAGTACACTAATATGTAAAACCTAAGGATTTGGTTTTTGGTCATCTGAACGCGGGCGGAGCCGCGGGCAATGCTAGTATTATTATATATTGTAATGAAAACATAAGTTAATAGACAGACAACAATTATAATACAATGTTATATTCAAGTAAAATTATGTTAGTGTATATTTTATGTAAATGGAAATGACATAAAATCGCTATAACTGTTAGATCATTAAATAGCTTTGCATACAAACGGCGCTACGCTTTGAGCGTAGAACGCGTAATTATAACATTTTTAGTAATCATAATTTAATATAATATTTTTAATTTTTCCAGTCGTGAAAAGATCATTAATTTTGAGAATGGGTAATTATAAGTTAAACATCTGCGTCCACGCGGTCACGGCATCCTTCCTCGCATCTAATCATCGGCGATTCATCTAACGAAACGGAGAAATTAATTACAGACTAGCTTCCCAAATCTTACTGCTCCGTGATTTTAATTATAACCTGTATTTTATGATTTATTGAACACATATATGCTGATTTATAAATACTTTTTAAATGTTAAAAAGTCGACACTAACTATTAGGATAGATTCTTATCCTATTTAATGAAAAAATGAAATGCCCAACATTCATATAAATCTATATAGATTGTTTTAAACTCAGCGCCAAGTTTTCCTGTAAAGTATTTATGAAGCGAGACTATTAATTAAATTGAATTGCAATTAAAGTCCTAAGATTTTCAGTGCTATCGCGTCCTGCGCGTGAAAACGAACACCTTTTCTATGATAACTGCTTGTAATTAAATCCATCGGTGTCATTATGTCCTTTGCCCCATTTATTCAGTATTATTAGTTACTGATTATAGTACCATAACGTATTTAAAATTCAACTTGTAGGAAGCAACCCGAGAACGTGGAAATTCTAACAGTTGGAAAAGTTGAAAATTTAATTAACAGGCTTATACATTTTTTATTAAATAGCACTTCAAATAAGCTTTACTGGAACATATTCCGATTGTAATTGGCCTCTAATTATACTAGTTAACTACTTTTAAAATGTGGGAGTGACTAAAAATCTTTAAGACAAGAGATAATTTTTGTTATTATATACGTAGTATACCTACATATTTTTCGTTGCTATACAAAACTGATGTCCGTAACATGAATTAACAAAATTAAAAAAATTGTGTATTGAATTTCTCGCAATTCATCGTGAATTTTATACACATTCAAAATTATTCTTTTAACATTTACTGTAACATGCCATTGCTGTGGTGTTTTATGATCTAAATTAAAGTCACTTTTTATTCATATTCATGCTAAAGTTTAAAAACTGATTCTGTTTTAAAAAATGAAGGTTTGAAATCTGATTCTTTGAAATGATTGGTATTGCCTTAAAATAAAAAAATAATATTCAAAATAAAGTTAGCAGTATTAACTAGTATGTATATACAACAATTTTTCTGTTATTAATAAAATATTATACGTTGTAACGTTTAGTATAGATTTCTCAGAAATGAGATGTTTTCTTGGCTTTCCAGACAGACAGAAAAATTCTAAAAAGTATAGATTCTGCCTCTGTATCAATAATAATGACTATGTCAATAAGATTTTCAAAAGATTATTTATGTACAGATTCGAGTTAGAATTTTATTATATGTATAGATGAATCAAACGTAGTTATGATAGTAGGTATTTTAGTTCTATTAACAGTATTTTTTGCATTAAATTAAATATTTTCAAGTATTATAAACTATTCTAGCATTTAACAGCTTTTAACAGTATAAAAAAGCTAAATTAGTGTCTTTTTCCTTTCGCAGTCATAAAATTAAATATAATTTAAATAATATAAAAAACATTGGGGTCATTTTTTTAGTAATGTTATTAGTTTTGTGCGCTTTTGCCATATGGAATGCAATGTAAAATGGGGAGTTTGTGGTCGTAATGATGACCGAGTAATATTTCCTTTCCGGTCTGCATTATGTAATGAACCGGAATTACTTTATTCAAGGCTCTTCTTAAGTGTGAAATATATTATACGCCCTAATGTCGACTCACTTCCTGTTTTAAAGTTATTTAAAGTTTATATCGCTGGACATGCCGATATTTGTATTAAGAGATAACTTGAATGCCCTATTCTGGTATATGAGGGAAAAATTTATAGTGATAAGTGAATATAAAGTACTTGTACATACAATTAAACGTAATAGTATATATGTATATATCTACAAGTAGCAAGACTCGCAGTTAGTATAAAACTTGTATGTCTTTGACGGCAATACTATATTTCTTCGTCAACTTGATCTCATCTTTATAGTTCGCTTTTTACGCAGTCGGGTGTTTTATTTTTGTATTTTTTTCTTTATATACATTAGAGTAACGTCGCAGCGAAAACTTGTAGTAAAATGTAATTAAAATTTAATTTAAATTATTATTTTGAGACTAATACTATAGTAAAATGAACTTACATTTTATAGATTAAATAATATTTTGTTAGTAAAGGTTCTTACAGCCATTAACTGATAAATATCAACTAACACTATAATCTCATAATATCTATTCCTATACTGCAATATTGCAAATACATTGTTTCGTCGATGACGTCAAACATTCCCCTGCAAGTCGAGCGCGAATTAATTTTCGCCACAATTACTTGGTCGTGTTACTAATTGAGACTTCAAAGATCCGCTTCGTCTGTAGTGTCGGCTACTCTTTGCGACATCACGTTGTCTTTTTGAAATGCATCATATTTATACAATTAAAAATAACGAACCACCTATTATTATCATTTCATAGCATTTTTGTAGTGAAACTTCTTTGCGCGTATGAGAGTAATTTCGCGTCGCGAGAAATCATAATGAAAAACCTACAGTAACCGCTGTTATTGTCTAAAAATCGCTCCTCTCGGACTCGTCACTTAAAGTAAATTACGATAGATGTAAGAATCGAGCTAGATAGAGATAAAATATTATTCTCTCCTTTTTGTGTGATATTCGTTTGAATCATATTTTTATATTTTATTAATTATATCATATAAATTTAATTGTAATATTAAAAGTTTTTATTAATTTATTAATCTTACAGATTTGAAATATAAATAACCAATGAAGTTTCACTTCTAACACATTTCCATAGAAACTTATTTTTTTTTACTTTTTAACTATATATATTTTATTTGCAATAAATATAATAAAACTAAATTTAAGCCTACTTACAAGTAATTTAAAAGTAGCTATAATTATGTATATATTACATATTTATGTATGAAACACAATCATTTTCTTTATCTTATTTTTATTTATAACTAGCAGAACACGCGGCTTCGATCGCGCTAAAACTACAAAAAAATATCTAAAAAGGTAGTTTCATACTAACTTTCATCCCCTATTTTACCCCCTTATAGGACGAATTCCAAAAATGCTAAAACACGTGTTTATTTAATTTTATTGAAGAGCATTCATACCAAGTTTCAAGTAATTCTGATCATAAATATTTGTTTGGATTGTATTATAACGTATAGATTAGATTGTATTATATTATATTATATTATATTAAGATAATGTCCCGCGGTAAAAAGTAGCCTATGTCACTCTCCAGCCCTCTCTACACAAAAAAACACGCCAATCCGTCACTCCATTTCGATATGAAAGAAGGACAAAATAATAAACAAACAAACAAACACACTTTCACATTTATAATATTAAGTATGGATTTTAGAGGATGTTAAACACGAACGTGCTTCACTTGTTTTTATTTCGGACTAAATACCTAGTCCCGTCGCACAGATTCCGATTACTAGTGCAAGAAATATCGAGAGATTTTCTATAGACCCAGTATGTTAATAAATGCCAATGTTGCCTTCATGAATAATAAAGCAATGATGTATTTAGTTCTAATTTCACAATATTTAAACTAATCAGGTCAAATGCAAAAACAGTTTGGTTCTATATTAGCGTTGGATTTTGCCGCGGGCTACTTGCACCGTTCGACCGCAAATATGGGGTCACCCGATAATGCTTGCGCAATTACGCCACATTACCAGCCCACTCCTCAAATACACTCTTGTTATACGATCAAATGTCTCAGACGTGACTGCCAATGCAGTCAATATAAATGCATTATCTTACCATGTAAATTATCTACGAGCGACCGCTAGGCGCCGATATCAAGGGCACTAGTAACGGTGGTGCTGGATATTTAATTCATTTTTTGTTTAAATATTTTTTTAATAAATTATTTTATTATTTATTTATATACTTTAATATATTAGTGATTCTGAAATCTATATCCACTTACAAAACATACAGAAAGTCCCGCAGTAGCACTCGTAACTTATTAGGAAACTAATAGCATGTTACAAAAGAAAGTGCAATCAGTTTGGACAGCTAAGTCGTGGCTTTTGGAGAGCACTGTGAGATGCTCGCTGGAACAATCGATCGACCGACGCACTACAATTTGCGTAGTGCAACTGGCAGCTCCTCCGGCAATTTATGTCCGTCGCCTTCGCCTGCCGTTACTCGGTAAACGCTACTGGAATATCATGTTGCCTGTGGTTGAGTTCCCAGTTTAAAAAGCACAGTCCGGACGAGTGAGATACATGCTAATTATGGGTAATTTTCAAAATCGATCGCCGAGCTTTTGCACAGTTGTGGCTTCCTGCGTTTGCGCGTTCTCGAGAAAATGTGAACTAAACATGTGATCAAACAATATATCGTATATATTAAATCAGAATTACGTATTTTTCTTCCTGGGCATTGAACTAACAGTGTAACATGTCATTTAATATTTCTATAAGAAAAGGTTTGCACTAGCTACCATTTAATAATGTATCTTGGCAACAAACTCAATAGTTTGATCCGATGAGTAGTTGCGCTCTAACAAATGTAGTAGGGCGAATTATAGGGCGATCGATAGCTTCTAGATTGCATCTCAATAATGCTTGTTCGAACCATCGTTCAAGATTGCTGGCGAGCGTGCACCTCGCTACTATTTGCTCATTACGTTGATATATCTCGTGTTTTTATTATATCTATCTGTAGAGAGATTTCACAGTAAGTCGAGATGTACTAAATGTGTAGTAGGTACTAATAATGTCTTCGGAGAGGATATTAGGTATGCGTTTCTGGAACCGAGAGTGCACGGTGACCGTCGGGACGCAGTAATTGATGACGTCGCGGCCAAACGGTGTCCGCCCATTTTCCGTCAATTTTCGTCACTTGAGTGATGGTAGTCGGTACCGCCCATAGAGCCGCAACCCGCGCCCGCACCCCGCCCTCCCGGGACTCCCGCGTACGGCACGCGCCGCGCTAAATTTAAATGGGATGAACTTGTAACAGGCGACCGCCGACGAGGAATGTGAGCGGCATGAAGCGTTAATCATATATTCGTGACAGTTACACTCTCAGATGTCGTCGAATAAAGCGTAAAAATTGGCCACTTGGTGTTTTTCTTTGTCTTGTCATCCACGGTGATCATATTTAGATTTTGCTTAATGTATGTTTCTTAGAAATATGTGAACACTTGACGCTATATTAACTATACTTTGAGAACGTTATTTTGTTACCATATACTCTATACATATAGTTACTCTCTAAGATGAAAAATGTAAAGAGCCTTTTCCGTGGTAATTCGAGCTTTAATGAAAAGGAGCAATTTCTCAAAAGTGCAAATTCAGCTTGAGACAAAGTACTAGTTAGCTTCCCCCTACAGCGAACAATAGACCGTTGGGATATAAATAAGCTAGGGGCACTTAATGAACGTATAAACTTCAGAGGTACGATGCCAATAAACACCCTGTTTCTATAGCAACGTCTTAAAAACAGTAAAATAAATTACGGAAGAGATACCTAGTATATATACGAAGTACGCGCTTGCATTACATATACCTACAAATATTTAGTTTCTAAAAACTAATCTTCATTCATAATTCTTATAATACTAACATGAATAAATTTATATTTGCAGCAGAATAATAAAAAGAATAATTCTACTCCTCTACCTTCTTTCATATCTACTTTTTTTCAGTATTTTTTCTCGGCAGTGTTTCTATCATATGTATTCCCATATTTCTCGCAACTCTTAAACATGATCCTTGTTTAATATTGTTTTATATGGGAGTGCGTTAAACATGAGCGCTGTGCTCCAATATTGAAAATTATAAAATCTTGCTGTAGGTAGTAGGTACTAGGTAGGAATATATAATTTTCATTAGATCCTAAACATTAATAAAAAATATTTCTTTATACAATTTTGACAATTATATTTTGAAATTCTTCTAAATATAGATACAAAACGCCACAAAGGTTATAGAAAACTTTATATTGGCGGAGAACAATCAATCGAAATCAGGCCAAGAGACTGTTGATGAGCGAGATCATGCGAGCACGTGTTGCTTTTTGTTGCGGCTATTATCTTGTCAGTTGGTCTTAAAGTTCATTGTCTTGTCTGGGATATTGTAGGTAATAGGCCATTCATTGCCATGTGAAAGCCGCTTGAGGCTAAAATGAAATATTTTATGTAAAGATCTATTTAATATATTTTAAATTTTAATCTAATAAAGTATGACTCATAATAATGTTAAATTTTTTTTGTTAGTTCGTCATACCTAAAGCCACGTACATATCTATATCAGAAATTTGACCATAATAATTTTTCATATTTAATTCTCCAGATCAAAGTTTTGAAATATTTTAACCTGTACAAAAAAAATTCTAACCTGAACGATTGTATTTTATCAAGGCAAAAACTTCTTGTAGGTAAATTGTAATGTTTCTTGTAAATAATTAAATAGTAGCGTAATTTAGCCATTATTTAATAATTAACTAGTAAATATAATATAAAAAATAACGTCATCACATTTCTTATAAGTTCATAACGAGTATCAGTTTTGTCGTATTCAAAGTAAACGCTTTGTATCGTAAAGTATGATTTATGATATCGTTTGACGACCCTTGACTGTGACGAATCTTGACAAGTGAACCTTTTTTTGCTTTAAAGCAAATGAAGAATCTTCCATTTAATATAGGTACTTAAACATTATTGTCCAATATCGTAAGATAGTGATATAGGTATTTAATTCGTATTTAATAAATAATAGACGACACGTTAGGCTCAGTTGGTTGTGACCTTACTTGCTGTGCCAGCGGTCGCGGATTCGAGTCCCGCTCGGGGCTTTCATTTGTGAGATGAACACGAATGTTTGTACTCCAGTCATGGGTGTTTATATTTATAATATGTATGTATTTCAAGTTATATATGTGAAGTGTATCAACTATCTGGTATCCATAACACAAGCCTCGTAGCTTACCATGGAACTAGATGGCGCTGTGTGTTAATGTCCCAACATTTATTTATTTATTATTATTATAAATATATAATTAATAGGTGCACAATAAACATATAGTAAAAGTCTATTTTTATAAGGGTAATATCTGATTTTACGATTTCGCAGGCAAAAGCAGAATTATGTAATATTATCTCGCCCTGTTTCTCTGTCCGCATACCTGCAGCCATTTTATTTGGGGATTATTACAAATATAACTATATAACTGAAATTTGTTAGATGTCATGTGTAGGTTTTGCTAAAAGATGAAATTAGAAATGGCAATCTAAATATTACATATGTATATCCATGGATAGGCTAGAAACATTTGGAATTTGAGTGCTTTTAAGCTTGTGGTCTGTGGAGTATCTTTGGACAGGTTCTATTTAACTGAGATAGGCGTTATAAAAGTTTTTTTAATCAGTAGTTGCTGCTTTATTTCCTTTTAAAGCTGTTGCCTGTTATCTAACCTTTGTTCCACAAAAGGTATAAGTAGAGAAAAAATTAAGTTTCAAACACATATTAGGGAAAAGTTACCAACACGCAATTTATAAATTATTGCGTAATTTAGTCGGGTGACCCGGAATTTTGCTAGCGGTACAATTTTACGTATCTATAGAATATGGAGGTTTGGAAAATAAAAAGTTTTTATAAACTTACAACACTTCATAGTGAGCTGGATAAGGTTTCCTACCGGCGATATAAACAGACGCTATTTTCATATTTCTTACATAGAAAATTACCCATGGAAACTTTATGCCTACCATATTTGACTCTTCTAAAGCAAAGTATCATGCTTCCAGGCCTAGCAGCTTAGGCTATTTTAGTAAGTAGATGTGACTAAAGTATTATTTTTTAATTAAGTTAACTTCTTTTTATAAACGTAATAATCAAGTAATGTTGTACCTAATTAATAAGTAAAATTAATACTTATGGCCAATTTCACCAACGTTACCTAAGTTTACTCTTAAAATAACCCCTAACCCCTAAGCATAGTTAGGGGGCTGTTAGGGGACAGTTTCTGATTCACCGACAGTTAGGGGTCACCTAAATGTTAAAATGCAACCTAAATATAGGTACTAGAAATACGGGCTCTGACTATGGTAAAACGAAATTTAATTTAGGGGCTAGTTTAGGGGACTTTTAAGCTAGCGATTCCATAAGTAGGTTGTAGCTTATGGGTTGTTTGTGAAATCGGGCATTAATCCTTTAATAACCTTTTATGACTTCTTAGTTATTTCTTACTTCTTTAATTAGTTTTATAACGTACATTTGCATCATTTAACTTTGGATAAAATAATAAATTTTATCAACCGTTATATTAATAGTGTTCTTACCAACGAATAGTAAATACAGCGTGACATCACCGCGGGCGGGTTGACGCAACTCTCGATACGGGGCGGGCTGATATGTTCGATACGCCCGATTGCCGTGATTTACCAACCAAATGCCACAAGGGAATGAATATAAAGTCGATAATAATTAATATTCACTTCTAGATTATTTAATTTTACAAGAATGAATACTTAGAATACTTAACTGAATTAATTTATAATTAAATTTAAGTTGTGCTTATACAATCTGTAACTTTATAAGTTGGTAATATAGATGAATGACTAACGACTATATAGAATTAGGAAAAATGTATTGTGGTAGAATAGGCAGAAAAAATTCAAAACGCAAGTTTCGTACGGCGTCACGCTGCCTACGCACGGCGGAAACGCACAGCTCATACATTATTCAAAGGCAAAGTCAAATACAAATAAATAGGCACCAAATAAATACAAACAAGCTGAATGGTGCCGCGGCGGTAGGCGGAGCCGCGCGACATAAATATCGGCCGTGTCATAGCGGATATCTGCCGGGCTATTTCGGACTCGGCTACAATATCAATTTATAGACTACTAGCATTGCCCGCGGCTCCACCCGCTTTCAGTTCACCAAAAACCAAACTCTTAGGTTTTACATATTAGTATACTCTTATATTGCAACCGCGGTAAAAAGTATCCTATAAGTATCTTGACCTGGATAACCAGCTATCACCATACCAAATTTCATCAAAATCCCTCCAGTGGTTTTTCTGTGATGCGGTAGCGGACAAACAGACAGACTAAAAATCTAAAAACTATAGACTCGGCCTCTGTATCGATAATAATGTTTATTTCAATAAGATTTTCCAAAAAATATTTAATGTACAGATTCGGCTTAGTTACAATTTTATTATATGTACCTATAGATTTCACTTG